TCACCTGTAAAGATCATAAGACATTTAGGAAGGCCCACAGTATACTAGTATTTTCAACACTGTTCAAAAAAGACAATGCCTAAAAAACTTCTAGACAACACAAATGCCACACACAAGAAAATATAAATCATCTTTTTGGTGTGTAAGAACTAACGTAAACCAAAGTTTCTTCCTAAAACTTTATTAGGAGAAAATTTAGGGGGAAAAAAATAGTACTTTAACATCATCATAGAAAACGTAGTTCTTTTAATCCACTGAAGTTTATATCAACCCCAGAATCTTTACATATGTATTAAATATGTACCTTCTCTAAAATTCTACTGCAGTCATTGCTATTTCCTTAATAAATATGCTCAAATTCATAGGTTTTTTTTTTGTGTGTGGCTTTTTGAAACAGGGTCTCCCTATGTAGTACAAACTGGCCTTGAACTCACTATGTAGCACAGGGGAGCCTTCAACTTGCAGTGATTCTCCTGCCTCTGCCTCCTGAGTGCTGGGATTATAGGCATGAGCCACCACACCCAGCTCAAATTTGTCTTTGATCAAAATATTGTTCTTTTCAGTAGCAAGACAATAAGTTTCAAACTGAGTCAGGATCAGGGTAACTTTTACAGGCAACATATCCTTAAAACACCTTCAACCAAATTCTATATATGATATACAAAAGCAAAAGGTACCTACATGTAGCTGGACATGGTGGTGCTCACCTGTAATCTCAGAAGTCAGAAACCTGGACAGGAGGATCACCATAAATTCGATGTTGGCCTGGGCTACACAATGAGTTCAAAGCCAGCCTAAACTACATAGTAAGATCCTGTCTTAAAAAAAAAAAAGTGCACATTTTTAAAAAATGCTCTGATCTCTCTTGAATTCCTATTTTAAGTATTCTGATCAATGTAGTATTATAGTCTAAGGTCAATCAATAACCATTAATGTCTTTGCATGAAATAGTTTCTCTGATAAATGTTATATACAAAGTAAAATCTTTTTTTATTTTTTTTAATTTTAAGGCAAATAATAAAAAAAGAACAATAGCAAAATACCAACAACATAGACAAAAACAAAGCAAAGCAGAAACAATAAAAATGATACAGGGTTTCAGAACAAAATGATAGGAAATAACAGTGGTTGTTATATTACATATTGTTATCCTCAAGGAAGTTGCTCAGATTTGTTTTTATTTTAAAGAAAAAAGAAAATAACAAAACAACATGAAAACTATAAAAATGATACAGAATTTCAAAACATGATGATAGGAAATCAACAATGATTAATGTATTACTTATTATTGTCTTCAAAGTAATTGCTTAGATTACCAGATACAGGTACGCAAAATTGATCAAACAATTAAATATTAGCTGTTCCACAAAGTAAAATCTTAAGAGCTTCCTTCATATGTCATAGCTGGTTATGAATTTAGTGATGCTAAATTAGGGAGTATGAAAAAAGGAATAACACTTTTTAAAATGTGCGTAATTTAAAACAACTCTTTGTTGAAAACAAAAACGAAGGCTCCTGAAAAGTGTCTTCAATTTATTTTGTGAGGAACTATTTTCAATTCTGAAAATTCTTAACTTCACTGAAAGAAGGAATATACATGACAATATTCAGTATTATTTAGCACACACTGTCCTATAGGGTAAATAAGCCAATCAAAAAATACAATCCTAAATTAGAAAACAGCTGCAGAGTGCTTGTCAAGAACTGACAAAACAGGTGTGCGCATGCATGTGCACATTGCTAGCATACTTATGGATAGGTGAAGGGACTATAAAGGAAAACAACTATTTAGAAATTCAATAGTACATTTTATCTACTTTGCCCTACCAGATCAAAAGTCCATGGTTCAAATTCTGTCTAGAGTTTCAATTTAACCTCAATGCTTCAAGTTTGCTCTCATTCCTTCAACAAGCCCCAAAATTTTCTGAGCTCTTCCTTAATTTCAAGACCCATGTTCCACAAACATCTTGTATTTTCTCTGCCCTAGCTCTGGAATCAACCACTTCTCCAAAGAAGTACTGCTCCCTTAAAAAACCCAAGACTTGGGTGCTCACTGCATTTGAGTGTCCTTGTCAGCCAACTGGTTTAATAACCACTAGTCTGTTGTGGGTTTGTTTGTTTTTTGAGATGGGGTCTCACTGTATTGTCCAGGCTGGCTTCCTGCCTCAATCTTTCATATGGCTGGAATCACAGGAAAGTACCACTATACCCAGTTTACCACTAATATCAATTAACTGTTTCTTACTTTACCAAACTCTTTAGCTGGGATTCTTCAGCATTTCCTGTAACTACAAATTCTTGAGCCCCATCCTAGAACCTACTAGACCAGAATTTCTGAGGGTCTCCTGCAAGAATTTGTATTTTAACAGGTTTACTAGATTCTGGTGCTCACTATACAGTATAAGGTTTTAAGGAATACCTCTTGGAAAGAAAAATTAGCTTTCCTTTATTATGAACTTTATGTTCATTTTATCTCTAATATTTTTTTAAAAAGAAACATTTAATCTTAAGAACTTGCCTGTGCAGAAATATTTTTAATGCTACAACTAATACAAACATGGGTGGATGTCATTATCTGTTAAGGCACTAAAATGTACTAATGTGGTGATTCAAGTAATTATGAAGTACAAATACTACTCCTTTTAGTAAAAGAAGTTGAAAGTCATTCTTCCAGGATCAGTTCCCTCCTACAGATGTGATCTAGTGTCACACAGTCAGTCTATACATACCTACAGAATCTAGCATAGCTCTCTGCTAAAGTCAGACTCCTAGGCCTGAGTAACTTTCGACTTAAATTCTCTCTCTCTGCCTTTGGTTTTCCTAACCACAAAATGTAGTAATACTACCTAGATGATAGATGCAATTTGAGGGTTAAATGAGATATGGGCAACATCACTGTGAGGGCACCAAAAAAAGTCCTCAAAAATTGATAATCATTATTACTTGAGCTATAAAACAAAAACCAGAGGTTTTACTTGGGGGGATGAGAAAAGCCAAGTGGAAACTGTACTAAAGCAAAATTCTGCTGCTTTTTCACCAACAGATCAGAAAAAAGGCAAAATCAAACAGTTCTATTTATATACAGTAGTTAAAATATTCAGAATTTAACAACCAATGTGTTAAATTTGATTTCTTGTACACTTATAGGCAAAAGCTAGAGAGATATATGCAAAAAGTAAAAAACAATTTAAAAAAAATCTAAGGAGGTAGTGAAATTACAGGTAAATTTTCTTCCTATTTTGATTACCAAAATCATGTTACGTACCTCCTTTAATATTAGTAAAAAGCAGAGTATTCCAATTAGTAATTGCAATTTCCATTTATTCTGAGTCCTTAAACTACCTCATTTAATACTCCAAATGACCCTATCAATCTCCACTTTACTAATATGGAAATGGGCTCAGAGCTAGCAAGTTTTCTGCCAACACAGTGACACCAGGAATTCAGACCAGACTTAAAATTCTATACTCACTGGGGCCGGGGATATAGCTCAGTGGCACAAGTGCCTGCCTGGCAAGTGCAAGATACTGAGTTTGCTTCCCAGTACACACACAAAAAAAAAACCAAAACTATATGCATAACCAATGTTGAAGATACCCACCCTTATTTCCAAACGCTTATATTCTGTACAAAACTTATGATAAATTATCACTATATCATCTCATGGGATACAGTTTAATAAGGGACTCAAAAGATACAAAATATTCAGATGCAAAACAAAAACTGCCAATTCTTTATTCTATACCATTTTTGGAGGTTGTAGCACTTCCAAGATTTCACGCTCTCACAGCTGGCTTAGTGTATAATCTCAAATTGATATAACAGCCTAAGCTTCTCTGAGCAAATTTCATTTAGGAAATTCAAGTAGCACTGAAACTAAAAGTGGATTCCTATGCAGTGTAGTTTAAAATGACTCCTTCGTCAAAAATAAACTATATAGGGCCAGGGATATAGCTCAGCCACGTAAGTGCTTGCCTGGTAAGCCTGAGGTCAGGAGTTCAACTCCCGGTACCAACAAAAATGAAATAAAATAAAAATAAAAAAATAAACTATATACAGTACAAAATCCAATGTATTAATAAAATACTCGAGAATTCTTAAATTAGGTAAATTTCAGTTACTTTATTTGTTCATTATAGAAGAACTCAAGCTAGTATTATCTCTACATTAGGAAGAACACTAGATAAAATAGTGCTTAAATGAGTCATTCAAGGTAATATGATAACCCTGCAGCAAAAATGGTCTTCAATCTTTGAACTCTGCATTCAATGCAATAAACATTACTTAAGAGAGGCTCTCACTTTAAACTTTAGAACTTCAGAAAAATTTCACAGCAACTGTTAATTTTTCAAACTGTTCTAATCCAAAGAATTCCAAAAATATTTTTAGTTCCTCCACCATGAAGTTCCCTTTTTTCATTAAAGGTGCTGCGGTTGGTCAATATGTTCAAAAAATAAAACTAACAAAATGGATAGCGGCCACAGTCTCAATTTTTAGAAAATAAAAACAAGGAAAAGATCTTGCCTACAAATCTAAACCAAAGTTTTAAAACCTAAGGAGAATAAAACAAACAAAAGGTCTACGTTTAATGAGAGTACTGTACCTCCTCTCCAGACCTTTTTAACAGTATGAAGTCTAATAAGCACTACTGATAAACTAGAGTTCATATAACTACTTGACTTTTTTGAAATGAAACGAGTCAATTTTTTAATCAGGTATGAAATATAATTCAGAACACATGTAAGCAACATAACTATGGGTCTAAAACTTCAAACTGTCCGTTTTTACCACCAAGACTAAAAAAAGTACTCTCTCTTAACGATTAATAGGACGAATAGTGGGATCCTGTCAGATACGGACCCACCTACACTAGTCGTCAAATTTCCCATTTAGAAACTTACAGGAATTCTGCTTCTCATCTTAAGGTCGGAACCAAAGATTTACTCCTACCTTACCCTGTTTAACGTTCACTCCCAGACAAAAATAAACCTTCAACTTACCTTGTTTTCCCTTTGTGCCGTAGGGAGGTGGGGGTGGGGAGGGATCGGTTGTGAAAGACCTTTTGAAAGGAAAAAACACCAGTTCAGATACTACAACATGGGAAAGTTGCACATCTGTTTTCTTTTTACTTACAAATTCTAGTGGGGTTTTGTCTTGGAACTGTCAGTATCAGGGGAGCCCTTCGGTCTCCAGTGTTCCCTCTGCTCCACGATACCAGGACCCACTCTTACACTGCAGCGGTGGAATGTCGTCTGGTCCCGCCCACGTGACAGCCACCTCCGCAGGGAGAGGAGGCGCCGGCCCGCGGAATGCCGGGAGCAGTAGTCGCCCTTCCCCGCCCCTGGCCTTCTCCTCCCCCAACTCTACACTCTGACCAGCTAAAGCCAGGCCTCTTCCAGAGCTGCCTTAAGGTACTAACAACCAAATCACAGACAGCCCTGATTTTCTCACTGATCTAACAGGACTGCAGTCACCTGCGTAAGACGTCTGACCACTCTGACACTTAAAACCACCTGAAATTCAGATCAGAAAACCACTGAACCAACACAGTAAGAGGTAGTACCACATTAGGGAAGCACCAGTCAGACATGACTTGGAATCCAGACACTGTCATCACTAGGAGAACGTCCTCAAAATAGCTGTTTCATCAAATCTTAGTCAGCTCGTGTCAAATGGGGACAAAGCTACATAACCACATAAAGTTGTTGGAATCCTGCAAGTGATGTACCTGCTAAATGACAGTAAATGAGGAACCAAAAATAGCTATTTTGATCTACTCATTATAGTAATGGGGAAAATTAAGAGATGGTGAGCAACTTACCTAAAACATGTGCTTGGTTAGGAGCAAAGTCAATTAAGTCTAAAATTCTTGTTCTTATACTACTTCAAGGCAACACAAACAAAAATCTCCCTTCATTTTTTTTTCCCCATAACACTGCTAACCAACACTATTGATTTTGTCTTTTTTTTTTTGGTCTGATTCCACCACTGAAAATAAACTTCAAGAAGGTTGTTTTGTGATTTATTTTGATTTCTATATCCCCAGTTCCTAGAAGTGGAACTGCCGAGTACACAGAAGCTCTTACGTGCCACTGCCTGTCAATCGTCCTTATTTTGACATCCCATTGGATTTGGGAAGATTTTCAGCTGTTTGATAATTGACTGCAATTTCTAATTCAAAAGACAGTAGGTAGAATAATATACTCCATTTACTTTGTTTTAATTTCAATGTAACATCTCCAGATAAACATTCTCATTTGTATTATCTTCAAAATATTTTTTCTATCACTTGTGAGAACATGGAATGCAACCAGTTTGCCTTTACTTCCTCTTAAATTTTAAATCTTTTCCTTACTAAAATTAACAATTTTGCCCCTATTAAGCCACAACTCCATTTATTTTTCTATCCACTCAGGAATGTTGTTATATGCAATGCTTTCTCTTTAAATTGGATTTCTGCTTGCCTTAAGAGAAAAACTCCACCACAAAAATTACTTTTAAAGAAGTTTCATTTAAAATAGCTGCTTTAAAGTAGGTGTGGTGGTATATGCTGATAATTCCAGGATTCAGGAGGTTGAAGTTAGAGGATTAAATTTTAAAGCCAGCCTGAACTACGTATCAAGACCCTATCTCAGGAAAGTATATTTTTAAAAAAGCTGCTTTATTTTGAAACCCAACATGAAAAACACAGAATATCTGGAACTAGCCCTATTACTAACTGATTAATGCCACTTAGTAATCTAACTTATAAAACTTTTGTGTATCTGACTTCCCTAACACTGCAATATACAGCAAATTCCCTGCGTAAATTTATCTGTTAGCACAGTGTATTTAGTAAATACATGAATAAATTTATTCTTTGTTATAACCATTACTTTTTTACCTGTGCTTTGATTCACTGAATTATTCCACATTTCTCAGATTCATGAAGTAACAACTGTGGGTATTGGTGGCCTGGCAAGTATTTACAATACTGGCTATGAGTCTATATCTCTGTAATGTTACTTATGGGCCCTTGTGGTTTGGGAAACACCTACAGAAGAACATCTGGTTTGACAAGAATTTGGCTTTCACTCATTGTTAGTAATGAAAGTTTGGTACGGGTAAGATTGTTATGTGTGGGAGGCAGTTATGACAGAACTAAGATTATGTATTCTTATAACCTAGACAACAGGGAAAATCCTAAGCAAATGTATGTGCTAATGCTAAAGTGCTACAGTTACCTTGTTTCCTGCTTTTGAATCTACTTTAACATTCCCATTATTCACTTCTTTGAAGAGTCATTCCTATGCCTTTACAAGCAGTTTAGTTACAAAATAACATATGATTACTCAATAGTCTACAGAATCTCTCTCTTCTAATTGTTCCAGAATATGTACAGCCTCTTGTCTCCTTAAGTGTCCCAGAAACTGAAGCTTTACAAGCCAGTATCCAAGTTTCTGTATCTTGTCACCTGCTCTGATAAATGTTTTAAAGAGGCTCTTAGTATACCCATTAATTTTCATAATGAGCTTAGTAAGTTAACAGTATAAAATGTATATCCTTTAACAATTACTATGTCTATTAAAAAACTTTTACTAGCATGTGGTAATGAGAAATATAACAGCCACCTTACAGAGAAAGCATTAATTTAAAAAAAAACTAAAAGCCATGTATTAAGTATCAATACATCTCAACATATTGTCGAAAAGTCACAAATTTTCCAAATATACCAGCTTACCCCGGATGACAACAAAGAATATTTTTTTCACTTTTTCCTCTAAAGACTAAAAGAAACAAGTAGTAATCTCTCTCACTGGTTGTTCCTACAGTACCTTTGGCTATATTGTACACAGCAAATAAAGCTAAACTAAGCTCCAAACAGGTAAAAACCTACTTAATTCATGCAATTCCTTGTGTCAGTGGCCAAATTTATGTACTAGTGAAAATATAAAAATCTAAAATCTGTGCAAGTTTGAGTAACAAATAAATTGTTCAAAAACATTTTAAGGTGATTAATATACTTGAAAGAGCATTCCATTTTTCCAGAATCATTGTTAATTGGTATCCAAATTACGACTTTTAAACCTAAACGTCTTTAAATCTCAGAAAGTTCTCCAAGTTATGTAACTGAAGGAAATATTAAGCTATCTTTCAAATAACTCATACTTTATAGCAACTTAATCGATCTTCCCTATTTGTCTAAAGCTGGTAATTGCAGATTATCCACATCCATAAACGCTACATATACGAAGGCGAAACGGTTTTTATCATGCTTTCTTGTCCAGTAAACTCAACGCAGAACCCTAGGTCAAACGCAGTACTATCTATGTGCCCAGAATCAAAGTAAAAATAACGGATCTCAACTTACAGTTACAGTGCTACAAACTGTATGCTTAATTTCACTGTGCGTGACGCAGCACTAATATTGTCTTCCTAACAGCGCTGCTGGAATAGAACTTTTGAGCAAAAGACCGAAGATTGGGGTTTTTGCTCCGGGTACCTCTCGCAAATGGAAACGCTACCCAGTAAGTAGGACTATAGATGTTGAACAACCTCAACAGGTGATCTGCAACACGCAAAAATCTCTCTCGGATCTTGACTCCCGCTAGGGACACTTGGAGAGCACGGCCGAGGCTGCAGTCCTTAAGTTCCCAAAGAAACTGCGCCACAGCCGGGACGCGGAGGCTCCACGCGGTTTTCTCCGCCCCCTTCGCCCCCGTCCCCTCCCGGACACCCGCGCCCGCAGCCGTTGCCAAGGGCAACAGGACGTCGCACAAACACTGTCCCCGGCCACGGTCCCGCCGCCCCAGCCTTCCCTCCCTGAAAGCCGAGGCCAGGGCTGTCCTCCTCCCCCTTCTCCTCCTCTTTGGTGGCTCCAGCCAGGAGGCGGGAGTGACCCGGAGCAGCTGACCCAGCGCGGGCACTGCCTCTCCCACAGCCCTCGGACACACCATGGGCCCAGAGGCAGGTTTGCGGCACAGCAGCGACGACGCAGGTGGCGGCCCCGGCGACTCTCAACTGCCTCCCTGACATTGCGGACACCGCCCAACACCCCCGGGAAGACAGCAACACCTCCAGCAAGAAAACCTAGCGGTCGCAGAGCCCTGTCGGGACTCACACAGCTGCGTCAACAAGTATGGCGCGCGAGGAGCGGCGGGCGGAGCCGGCGGGCGCGCGGTGGGGGCTGTACGCCACGCCCCGGGCCCCCCTGCGCGAGGGCCGGCTCCGCGGGGCTCCGCAAGATGGCGGCGCCGATGACGCGCTCGCGTACGGAACTCCGCCGTCACGCCAGGGCCGGCGGGAAGTGAGGTTCTCGGAGGAACCGCCGGAGGTGTACGGCGACTTCGAGCCCCCGACAGCCAAAGAAAGGTCCCTGCTGGGAAGACGAACCCCGCCGGAGGAGTTTCGGCCGGAGTCTGCGAAGCAGGAAGCGCGAGAAAGCGCCTACTACCTTCGGTCTCGGCAGCGGAGGCGGCCCCGACCCGCAGAGGCCGAGGAGATGAAGACGCGAAGGGATGCCCGCCTCGAGCAGCAGCAGAACTCACAGGAGCGGCCGCTGCAGCCGTCGCCGGTGACGACCAGGAGAAGGCTCCGGGACTCTGTGTCCTCCGAAGGTGGGGACCGCGGAGGTGACAGTCTCGGCCGCCGGCCGGGGAGCGCGCTGCGGGCGGGAGGGCGGGTGCACGCGGCGGTCTGCGCGCGTCGGAGCGGCGGCCGGGGAGGCTCCTGGGACCCCGGCCGTGCGCCCCCGCGTGGGGTCCCCCGCCGCGCAGGCGGAAGGAGGCTCTGACCCGGGCCGGGATGAGGGTAGAGACGGTCTCCGGGAGCGACCCAGGCAGAGCCGGGAAAGGCCGCCCATTTGTGGCACGAATTTAGGGGAGTCTAGGTCGCCTCTTTCTGCAGCCGTTCACCAGGGGACGCCGAGTTAGGCGGTAGTAGAGACTAAAGATGACTGCAGCCTTGGTTTCATTTCCGTTCCCTCTGCAGATGTTTCTGTGTCGAAGCCACTTCCATTTCCCTCTTTCATTCTCGGGAGCCAGAAGCCCCCAGGGCTGAGGATCATGGTTCTGACCTTCCAGTTTTTTCCATCTCCACCACTTGGGAGAGGCGAGAAATTTTGTGAGCGGGAGTTTCAAAGGTTAGAGTAGCCTGGTTAGGGAATTGAATCTTTATTCCAAATTCTTACATCAAAGTGGGGGATCTCAGTTTTTTAAACTGAAGCTCCCCGGTGTCGACAGAGAGTCAGCTGATTCTTCTTGTCAAGTGTTGTGGTCAACCGGGTGTGGTGGCCCACTTCTGTAATTCTAGCACTCGGAAGGCTGAGGCAGGAGGATCGCTAAGAGTTCGAGGCTAGCCTGGACTACAAAGCAAGATGCTGTCTCAGAAAAACAAACAAAAAATCAAGTGTTGTGGTCTCTGCCAGAAGTTCTCCTGCTGGAGGCCCTTAGTGTAACCATGTCTACCCAAACAAGACTGTTGTAGGTGCGAAGTGGCCCCTGCCAGTAGTCCCAGCACTCGGTGGCCGAGGCAGGAGGACCGCAGTGAGTGTGGAGCCAGCCTGGAACACAAAGCAAGACCCTGTCTCAAAATCCAAAAAGAAAAAAAAAAGATTAATTAATTAATTAGCAAGTTTTCCTGTAAATGAACCAAAAGTCCGATAGTGTGAGTGGACTAATTTCATGTGAGTCTCAGGTGAGCCAGTTTTCCTTAATGCCATCCGCACATGTGCACCAGATCTAACAGTCACAGATGAAGCTTCATGTTAGCCTTATGTAAAGCACCTGCCTATGAGGGAAACATCAGAGCGTTTGAGTCACAATGGGATACATAGTTAATTGTAGACCGTGTACCTGTGTATGGATTTTCAACTTCCAGTGCAGTAGTAGGCTGCAAGTTTACCTGCTCACACTTAAAAGTGCTGATACATTTGAAGACTGGATTTTACAATCTTTTTATTAAAGGTGTGCAAGTTACTTTTGGGTATAACGACTCAAGACAGTTTAACCCATATAAGTTAGTTTTGTCTCTAAATTGACAAACCTTGAAGGATCCTGTGACATACCATATACTTCCTGCTAACTTAGGTGCTTGTATTAATTCTGTATTTGTTTCAGTCCCTGGGAGAATGCTTTGCATGTAGGAAACAGTGTAAATATGTTACTTTGTATTGAGTCTCCCACAGAGCCTAGTGCAGTCACATGAGCTTTTCTTTTTAAGTAAGAAATTTGTCACTATTTTGATGTCTAAAATCTTCTGTTTTCTTCCACATCATTTTTGATACTCAAGTCCATCTTTTAACTACATTTTTTTTTGTTGTAAAGCAGTAGTGGTGAATATTTTTATATGTGGTGAATTACTTACACTGTTTTAGGAGTAGTTTAATTTCAAAGCTTTGGTGAACATAATCACACATTTCTAAAGAAATGAATAGCCTGTGTTTTTGCTTATATTTTACTGCTAAGTATGCATCATCTGTGCTATGCTCTCCCAGGCCATATACTATATTCTGGATTTTAACTCTTATTATATCTTTTCTTTAGAAGATGAACCATCTTCTCATACTGTTACAAACCAAACAGTCTCAAAGAAAACTGACAGAACACAAGAAGCTCCAGGTAAGAATGCTTCAGTTTTTGTTATTCTTCTTACCTGCCATTCAGGATTGAAACCAAGGGCTTTTCAGTGAGCTACATCCCCAACCCTTTTTTAAATTTTAAGACAGGGTCTTCCAAGTTGCTAAATTACCCAGGCACATCTCAAACTTGGAGTCCTGTGGCCTCAGCTTCCCAGAGTGCTAAGATTATACCTGTGCACTACCACCCCTCATTTAACTGCCAACTTTTTAAAATATAAATTCATCAAAGATACATTAAGGATCCCAAGTCATACTTCATTTGGGTTTTTTTGTTATGCACTGAATTAAGCGATGTTGATATGTGTCAAAAAAAGACAAGGTTGAAGGGCTGGGAATATTATAGCTCAGTGGCACAGGTCCTGCCTGGCAGGCTCAAGGTCCTGAGTTCAATTCCTGGTACAAAAAAAGTCCATAAAAAGACAAGGTTAAACCCTTCAATATGCACTAAAAATATACCAGTTACTTTATGTTAATCCTTATAACCTTCCCTTAAATAGTATACCCATTTTATTGATGAGAAAAGTAGAGCTCAGAACATCTAAGATTCTCCAAGAACACATATCTGACTGAGCCAAAATTCAGTCTCAGGTTTGTCTTGTCCAGAACCCTTTCATTTTTTCCAACGAACTTGACTGTTACTGTCCCATGTAGTAATTAGCTACTGATAAAGTTAAGTATAAAATGATTATGTCACATTGCCCTCTATTTAAAAGTTTCTGTATAGTAAAATCTTCGCACAATGTTGTTATTTTAATATTGTTTGATCAAATCCGAGATGTCATCATTTGTAAGATACACCATCATTGTTCTATGTACCACCTAAAGGAAAAAAGTACTTCCTATTTTCTGGTAATTTATTGTAGTACGCTATAGGTTATCTGATGCATCCCAATTACAAAGATATTAAAGTGTTAAAAGTCTTAGAATAAATGTAATGTAGAAAGAGGGCACATTTAACAGTTCACTTAAGTTTTTAAAATTTAAAAATATTTTTTAAAGCTGGGAAAGGATTAAGTTCAATTTAGTTTTTAATGCTTTGGCTTTTCTAATTATTTGTCTTTCCTTGATATTAGGAAAGTCCCTCAATAATAAATGATTGGAACTATTGAAGCTCATTACCCCCAGAGGGACTTTTTTGTTCTGTTTTGTTTACATTTGGTTTGGTTTTTTATGTGAGACCACGTAGTGCTGCTATGTAGACCAGGCTGGCCTTGAACTCGTGCTCCTCCTACCTCAGCCTCCAAAGTGCTAGAATTACAGGTATATGTATGCCCAGCTATCCCTGGATTTTATTGCCCAGGACCTGATTTATCTGTTACTTGTAGTAAGATTATTATTTGAACTATTCTATTTTCAATTTAAACTATAGTATGTTTAGTTCTGGTTCACTTTCAAATAAACATACCTTTATCCCTTAATTCCTTGAGTAGCCCATGTTGTCTTAATATTTTTGTTTTTTCTGACAGGGTTTCACTGTATAGAGTAGGCTGGCCGTGAACTGAGTGTGTAGCCCAGGCTGTCCTTGAAGTCACAGCAATCCTCCTGCCTCAGCCTCCTGAGGGCTGGGATTACATGTATGCACCACCATACCCAGCTATTGTGTTAATATTATGAAATATTTTAGAAACATACTTTGAGTAATGAGTGCCATAATCAGATTTTCCAGTCTGTTTGGAAAGAAATCATAATCTTTGAGTTTATTTACAAATTTAGTTGTATCTCTAGAAAAACAGAAATACCAGTTTTTAAATCTAGACTAAGTTTATAAAAATATCTTTAATCACAGCACCCTAGGTGGTTGAAGCAGAAAGATCAAAAACTGTAAGCCTGGCCTTGGAAATTTAGTGATTTAACAAGACCCTGGCTCAAGATTTTTAAAAAAGGGGCTGAGGATGTAGCTCAATGCAAAAATCTTGGTTTCAATCCTTAATAGCGCAAAAAAAGAAAAGTTGAAATTAAGTAAATTGTTACCATGAAGACTTGGTTTTAACCCTGGACCATTCTAAAACTATTGTATATTAGAATATATTGAACAAGTTTTTTAAAAGTTTAAATTGGACCGTATTTAAGGACTACTAATAAAGGCATCGCTGCATAATGTGGAAATCACTATTCTTTGGTCACATTCCTACCCACCTTGAGCCTCAAGCTTGTACAGTACCACTGTGTTATTGGTCCTGTGTAACTTACAGAGCCCCTGGAGAAATGAGATACCACATGTGAAATTACGTTGTATACAGTAAGATATACAAATACATCCCACCCCACCCCCACTCTCATATCTTTGAAGAGATACAGAGGTCAGAAAAGATGTTTGTTGAACATCTTTTGTACCAGTTCTCAACTTGATGCTGGGTACAGTGGTGAGAAGTGAAGGGTGCTAGTGACTTTACTCTCCTGTATCTCTCTCTGGTACTCTGTCTCCTTGGAGTACCTTATCTAGGGTTTTATATGGTAGAACATATAGAAAATACTTCTTAAATCAAAAGTACTTGCTGAGATAGATAGGTAGATAGATATTTTGATTTTTTTTGACCTCATGCTTGCCAGGCAGGTGCTGTGCCACTGAGCTAAAACCCTGGTCCCATAGAGTTGGTTTTTTTTAACATAGCTTAGCAAAAAGTAAACAAAACCACCTTTTCAGTTTTAGGCTTTAATTAAACCTGAAAAGGTTGGGAATACAGAGAAAAAGAAGGTAGTTGTAATACTAGGACTAATGGTAAGTAAAATTTACCTTTATCAACACATGTACACGATTTATTTTTAAAGCTATTTATGTGAATTTCTAAATACTTGATGAGGAAAGTGCTAACAACTAAGATAGCTCTTTCTGTAGAGATGATTGAAACAAAATATAATAGAATCCAAATTTAGATATATATTGGGTTTTAAGTTACGTTGTATGAAACTCTTGTTTTTCTAGACCGAAACTAGCATATTATTTAATGAAATTGATTTCCCCGTAAGTCCTATGCCTATGGCTAACATTAACATTTTATTTAAAATTAGCATTTGCGTTTCCTAGAAAACACATAATAAATAGTTGGAGGAAGTATATTATCTCTTGAGAAGCTAACTCTAAAATTAAAATACAATACTAATAATCTATAATCGTAGATCACAAATGGAATAGATTGTTGAGTTGGTACTATAGTACAGATTTTGCTTGTTATTTGATCAATTTAGAATTTTATTTAGTAATCCTTTTCTTTTATACAATGTGGTCTACTGAAAACAATTGGAAATTTCTCCGAGACCTTGAATTTATATGGTAGGAAACTTCATGTGAACTTCATTATTGTCACTTACTTAGAGAAAACTTTGGTTCTGTAGCATAATGGAAAGTTCTATAAACCTTTGTTGATTAAGTAAAGAGATGATTTATAACACATCTGGGACTTAAATGTTTTCCTTAAGCAGTGACCAGTGAAGATCCTGTCATTAGCCTACGTAGACCCCCTCTAAGAAGCACAAGACGTGGTAAGAGATTACTTTGTCTGTTGGTTTAACTTTTCTTATAAATAAGATTTCATTTTTAAATATAGTAGTATATATACTCATATGGTTCAAAACTCAAACATTACTATAGGTGAACAGTGAAAAGTCTCCCTGTGTCCTTGTCCATTAGCCACTCCTCATCAGAAGCAGCCAGTGTTGGTTTCCTAAGTATCTTCCTGGAGATATTTTTGGAGAGTTAAGAAAATTCATGTAGAAATTACCTTTTTCTCTCTTTTTAAACAGAAATTTTGACCTGATAAATATCCTTTTCTGTATCTTCTTGTTTGTAGTTTTCATATATATTGAGAAATCTTCCCATATCACTTTATAAAGGGCTGCCGCATTCTCTTTAAAAGATTCTTTGTTACATATTGCTATGGTCCGTCTGTGCTCACATGATGCTTTTAAACTAAGGTCATGGACTTTTTTTCTTCATAGTATACTGCTGATAAAAAATTCCAGACTCGAGCTTTATAGCAAGACTGAAGTTGTAAAATTTCCCTGTTTCAGTTACATTTCCTTTTTACTAAAACCTTAAAAAGTATTGCCCTTACATTGATTCTGTGACTAAGAAAGAAAAGTACCGAGGTCACTCCACACAGCCTACTTGTACTTCATTTTCTGTGTTTATTGGTCCTTAAGGATGCTTTGTCTTGGAACTAATATGAGAACTTCTTTATCTTTTACATTAGGTTTCTATTACTTTTTAATCATTCCCTTTAAGAATTACCTTTTTTTTTTTGGTCTTTTTGAAACAGGGTCTCACTATGCAGTTCAGCCTGGTCTTGAACTCACTTTGTAGCCCAAGCTGACCTCAAACTCCCAACCATCCTCCTGTCTCAGCCTCCCAAGTGCTGGGATTATAGGCATGCACCACCATGACCAGCTTTTTTTTTTTTTTAAATAATAGTTGACTGTCCTTACATGTATTAGATGATAAAGGTCTGTTAAGGTTTTAAACGTGTGGTAAAGAATCATACGATACATTTCCTTTTTAGTTCTAATCATTTTCTTTTCATCTTTCTTGCAGATTCAGCACACAGAACAAATGAAAACACTGAAATGAATGAATTAGGTTTGTTTATCTCTAACTCTGTCCATTAGCTCAGCTTGTAGAACACTGACCTGATAACAGTGATCTACATTAAGAACCTTGGTTTTTATTCAGTCAGTAATCATCTTATACTGACATTTACATTCAAATAAGAGCATAAAGTAACAATAGTTTTTACTGGCCTTGGTTAAATTCCTACTGTTTAAAAAAGGTGATACCAGCTTATCAGTTGGGGTTTTTCCTTGATTTAGTAAATAAATTTGGAGGTTTTTTTAAAAATAAAAAGGTCAGTGTTCTTTGCTGTGTTTGTTAAACTAGTTTAAATTACTTTCAATATTTGCCTTGGAATAGGACATGCAATAACATGGACTGTTCATTTTAAGTGAACCTACATTAAATGTGGTTGGACTTAATTTTACATTTTAAGGCAAAAAGAGGAAAGCTTCATTTTTCTTTATGTTATATTCATTTTTTTAAGTACTGGCTAATTTTAAGACTTTAGAATTTCTAGTATTTGGGTACTGAAAGTGATTCTTGCATAATGGAGTTTATCCTGTGTACTGTACTTCTACTCACAGTTTCTGAAGCAGTCTGTTTACAGATTTGTAAAAACACTTTGTAAGCCATAGACTTAATTGGGAGAGAATTTGGAGCTGAAATTACCTAACACTCTTACTTTGTATGATAGACTTAGAAATTATTTTATAAGTATTTTATAATAAAAATTTAACTTAAAAAAGTGTTTTCCAATTTGAAGTAATTTTCTGTAGATTAATATAAAAAATGACACCCCTTGATTCCTTTTATAGTACTGTTAGTACATCTGGGATTGTAGGCCATGGCCATTTGTGGAGCTTGGATACTTGTGATATCTCCTTCCTTTTACCCCGTTCTTGTGTTCTCAAAAGCATCACTGGTATTGAACAGCCTTAGACGTATCTGTGGTAGGGATCACCAATTACAGCCTTCAGACGAAACCTGTCCCATAATCTGTTTTTGTATGACCCATAAACTAAGAAACAGTTTTTGCATTTTTGAAAGAAAAGCATATGTGACAGACATGTGTAAGTGACGTGTGTACATGTATAAATGACTCAAAAAGTGTGGACTCTTATGTGTCCTATGGAAAAAACAAGTTTACCTATTCATTATTTATATCCATGGCAAGAACACCCAAGTCACCAAAATTATCATTTGTTTGTTCTAAGAGTAAATTTAGGATTTGACTCTTGTGTTCTAATCTTCCTTTGAGAAAGCACTCAATGTCATTTGTGATATTTTTGGTTTTGTACCCAGATAAAACACAGAGTAAGCAAAGTTTATATCTTCTTGAGTACCCTATAGTCCTCACACCAAGTATATGTCATAGGTCTCTAGGAACAGTAAAGTGGATAGTGGAAATGTAGATACTTTGGTCGGCTTTCAAAACACCTAGGGATACTTAAGAGTCCCACAAGCTGAGGTACACCTGGAACTTTGTGTTTTCTTAAAGACTGTGGCCAAGCAAAAGAAAATGGACAGAAAGTGGTACAGTTAGTGTTTAGTCTCCACTAGAAAAGACCTAGAATTTCTCAAAGCAGTTCTTCCTAATCCATTGAGGTTGTGTAAAAACAGCACCTCCTTAAAAGCGTATCCTAATTATTACCATGTATCTATGTGTTGAAGCCACACCCTTTATAATTTCTAAAAATAGCTTTATGTTACTAAGGATATTTTTGCTCCAAATAGGATTTTAGTTTCTCAAAGTTTCTGCATGATCCTAAAAAATAATACTTTTTTAAATGTATATAACTTTAATGCTTTTAATTTTCTGTGTATACTAACCAAGTTCATAGTGAAAGAACTTAAATAACAAAAAGAATGATATAAATAGGTTGAATATTTAAAACCTTACATGCGATGGAATTATTGAAAACTAATCTATACTGTTTTCCTTAAGCTGATAAATATTGTTATTTATCATGGTATAGGAATAAAAAAGTTTTATTCTCTTCTTACAAAACCTGTTCATTCATTAAACATTTCTTTTCAGCCACATTCTATATGCCAGTGACTGACCTAAATAGTAGGCCCTTAAAGAGCGATGATTTTTTTCCTGTACTTCTTAGGAGTATATGATCTAATGAAAAAGAAAAACAAGTTTAAAAATTTTTTTAAAAACAAGTTTAATAATTTTTTTAAGTGCTAAAATAGTGCTATATGTATATAGGATCCTAGTGAAGTTCTCTACTTGGAAAGGCCCAAGAGGCTTTTATATTATAGGTTAGAAGTGACATTTGAATTGAATTTTGAAGGATCAATAGCAAAGTGAAGGAGACTTGCAAATACCACAGTTGTTCTTATAATAAACATCATAATTTTACTTTTAAAGACCGTGTAATATGAGAAAGTAAACTTTTATATCACATTAGCTGTGACTTTATCTGAGGCATTTTATGTTAAATAATTTTTAGAATAACATTCTAAAAGTAAGTTTGATGTTGCATGTGTAATCCCAGCACTTGGGAGGCTGAGGCAGAAAGATCATTGTGAGTTCGAGGCCTCCCTAGCTACAAAGTGAGTTCAAGACCAGCCTGAACTTCATAGTGAGACCCTGTCTCAAAAAGACCAAAAAACAAAAAAAAAAAAAGTAAGTTTGAGTTTCTTGAGCTTTGTTTAATAAAATAAAAAACATGTTTTAAAATGTGTATGTATAGAGCTGGAAATACTAATTTTAAAATTTTAAGGAAACAGCCCTCAGACCAGTTTGATTTTCTCTTTCTGTCCAAAAAAGAAAAGTCAAAGGACAATCTCTCTGGAGCCTAGATTTAAATAGCACGTACTATACCTACTAGATTCTAGGTTTTTAAGAATAATGTGATGTTATTATCAATTTTTTCAGGGTTAGCTTTCTTCTACAAAAATGTTGGCAGACATATTTCAGATGCTGATCTGCATTTGCCACTATCATCAAGAAGGAGCATTTTAAGTGGAACTAACTTAACTAGTACTATACTAATTAATTAAATTAATATGAAAAAATTTCCAGTTCACTGAAGAATCTATTGGCAGTTTCTTTCCACAGTCTTCTTTCCCCTGTAAGTCTAAAAGTAATGACAGAGTAGCTCTTAAAAATAAAGACTTTATTCAGGAATTGCAGGGGATTGCAATTTAGGATATGCATGTAATCCCCAGCCCTGGGATATCTTTATAGAAGTAACTAGTCTGGGAATTGTGGTTTCAGAGACTCCTTGTAATAGTTCTTATTAAAAGCATTCATGCAAGAAGGTTCTTCCTTCATGGCCTCCCAGCTCCATTTTGTTTAGGATTGATATATTTGACTCCATTTTGGTATGACAACTTTTACACTTTTAAAAAGCATACAGGTTATGGGGCTTGGGATTTAGCTCAGCGGCACAGTGCCTGCCTGGCAAGCGTGAGGTTGTGAGTTCGATTACTGGTACCAGAAGAAAAGAAAAGCATACAGGTTAAATCCAATAGAGATAAAAGCTGAAATGTTAAGTCCAAATTTTATTGAAATATATATCATGGCATTTCTTTACTATGATCATTTGACATTTTAGCTCAGGTAAAAATACTGCATTTAAAAAATTTTTGATATGTTTTGCTCATGCATTTTTGCTTAAATTTTCTGTTGCTCTGAGAAACAGTGATGTATATGGCGCAGCTGAAACTAGGAAGATTTTAGAGGATTTTTTTTTTTTTCTTTCAAACTTTCTTACTTTCTCTTTGGAGACACTAGTGCACTAAAAACCTGATTTGGAAAGGTTAGAGCAGGAGAATTGCAAGTTCAAAGCCAACCTAACGAACTTAGCAAGACATTATGGTATAAACCTGCAATCCCAACTCCTAGGGAAACTGAGGCAGGATAGCGAGTTTAAGCAAGACCCCACTACAAAATTTAAAAAAAAAAAAAAGATCTGGGGATATAGCTCAGTGGCACAGCGCCTGCCTGGCAAGCATGAGGTCCTGAGTTTGATTCCCAGTACCAAAAAAAAAAAAAAGTTGTCAAAAAATTATAAAAAAAAAAAAAAATGAACATATTCACAAGGCTAAATTTGTGTCTCACTGCCTGGTGGCTCTTAATCCCCAGTGGTACAGGCATGACAGTCCCATCTGGTGGTACAGACTGTGCAGTGGGGCAGTCATGCCTGTATCACCAGTGGTTCAAGCCAATGGAAATGTGCTAAAAGGACTGGAGATGCAGCTCAGTGATAGAGCACCACTGAGTTCAAACCCCAGTACCACAAAAAATGAAGTAAAATAAAACTTGAAAAGAGCTTGGAATGCAGTTGTTTGGTAAAGCACTTGCATAGGATGTGGGACCCTAAATTCAATTTCCAGCACTATAGGGAAATAAAAAACAAAACTAAAAAAAGACTGGTTTTTCAGTTCAGCTGGCTTGATGCTTATCATGGTAGGTTAGGCAGTCTGGCAAATAGGAGAATGAGAATATTCAAACCTAAATGGGCTGGAATGTTTATCACCGTAGCATTTAGTGTTTTCTGTACATATAAGTTATATTTTAGAGTATACTGAAGGAAAAATAAACACTATTTTTGATTCAAGTTTGCACCTGAGTTATTTCTAATGCAGCCAGAAGGAAATGATAGATTCTTAGTGATTTAACAGAAAAAAACATTTATTGTGTCTTTATGTTCATTTTACTAATTAGCTGTTCTTATTTATTCCTTAGCTTTAGTTTTTCATATTATATACGTATACACTTTTTCTCTTCCAGAAACCTCCAATGTCAAACAGAAGGTCAATTTCTCAGAAGAAGGTACTTCCTTTTTAAATATCATACAATGTATTCTTTGTCTTTACATTACAAGCACTTTGATAGGTGTTTAAGAGCAGAAAATATCTTTTTCTTTGGGAAAAAAATCACGAACTATTAAGATAAACAGGATAAAATCAGATAGAATGACTGATGGGAAACCTTATGTACATTTTAAGCATCTTTTTCTCTGAGTTAATTTTGAGCAAAGCTAATATTTCCATTTCTAGCATATGCTTGGCCTTTGCTTAATTTTCCAAGTTGTTTTCTCTTTGAAAAATACAGGTATAAAATTTAGTTCCTTTTCAAGCTAGCATAATCTATAATTTAGTCTTCTACGTACCATAGTGTTTATATGTGGGTATATATATACGTTAACCTATATTTATACATACTTATAAAAACACATCTGTATACCCTAATCATGTCCAGATTTAATTACATAGCCATATTTAATTTTCTCCCCATAAAGTAAAAATTTTTCACTACATAATGCTCACCTGTTCATTTTTGACTACATTAAAGTCTCAAAATATAGTCTTTTAGGTATTTCTTTGAATATTTGTTTAGGAAATAATCATGTGCCTCAGAAAACAAGTACATGCATTCAGTTTTAGCTCATTTAAAACTTTGTGATTCAAAATAGTAATAACTTTTTAAAGACCGTCATTATAATGTTGACTTGACTTTTTTACATCCAGAACTTTTAGGCAGTAGAGACTATACCCCAGTTTGTTTACTTCTCTATAGGAGAAACTGAAGATGATGACCAGGATGGTTCTTACAGTGATGTCGCTACTGTTAAAGTCAGATCCAGGGATTCTGTTGAATCTAGAGGTATCGTTGATTTATATACGTATGTGTCTTCTTGTAGGAGCTATCTTTTTAGTTCAAATATACAGGTATTCTGTGAATTTCCTTTTTCTTTAAAAATACTTTCTAAAAAGTTAGCTACTTTTGACCAGGCGTAGTGGCACATGAATGTAATCCCAGTAGTTGGGAAGCTGAGCCAGGAGGCTCACCATACGTTCAAGACCAGCCTTGGTTACATAAACGAGTTCAAAGCCAGTCTGGACTACTTAGTGAGACCCTGTCTCCTCCACCGCCCCCCAAAAAGTAACATACTTTTAATATTTATTAAAATTACTGATTCTAGCCAGCCACAGTGTTATATGAATGTAATCTCAGCTACTTGGGAGGCTGAGACCACATGTTCACAGGTTCAAGGCTCGCTTTGGCAACTAGTGAGACCCTATTTTGAAACTAAAAATTTAAAAAGGCATGAGGCTGTAGCTCAGTGGCAGAATGTTTTCCTAGCATGTGCAAGGCCCTCAGTTCAATCCCCAATAATACACAGAAAAATTTACCAAGTTAGTGTTAGCAATTTCTAATTGCAAGAGTTAACTGAATAGAGAAGAAGGCTTGGGGTGCTGGGTAAATTTGTAAACTTCAAATAAAGAGTATAATTTTATATTTTAGTCCCACAGAAAAATAATTCTCTACTTTTCCCTTCCCACCTCGTGAGAATTTCTATAATTTTTTAAAAATTATTTCATTATTTCACTTTAAAAATGAGCTGGGACCTAGCCCAGCCCCTGCCTTACCTGCATGAGGCCCTAGATTTGATCTCTGGCACCACAAAAAAAAATTTGTTTAAGTCCATAAGCTATTTTATGGGCATTTGGTATTCTGTATATTTCCTACGTATTTTTTCCTGTCTTTCTCCCCCCCCCATAGAGAAATCTTAAAAAGAGATACATAATACTCCAGCATAGCAGTTAAGAGCATGACCTCAGGCTGGGAGTGTGTCTCAGTGGTTGAGCACTTGATTAGCTTGTGTGATGCCATGGAGCCAGAATTCCCAGGTTTGAGTCCTCTACTTACTAGGTACCTACCCTTAGATGGTTGCTTAACTTGTGTTCCTCAATCTCCTCATCTGTGCTGTTGGGAGGATAATTTGATTCATACATAAATGCGGAAAGTGCTTGGCACATAGTAAGTATCATATGCATAAAGCTCTAAAAATCAGAGACTAAACCACTCATATAACCTAGTTCACTGCCATTGCCGCTGGCGTATAGCTGTTTAGAACTACATAAACTCCAGGTCTTTATTTCCCTTTGAAATCTAATAAGTTCTTGTGCCCTTATTGAAGCATATATCTACATGCAGAAGAAAACTCTAACTAAAGAACAAGGTGTTACTGGGCACAGGAAGGCTGAGGCCAGAAAATGACACGTTTTGAGGCCAACCAAGTAATTTAAACCCTGTCTCAAAAATAAAATGTAAAAGGACTGAGAATGTAGCTCAGTGTAGACCACTTGCCTACCAGGCAGAAGGCCCTGGGTTCCATCCCTAGTTCAGCAAAAGCAAAGAAGGAAAAATACAAAAAAAAGAACAAAGTATTGAGGTATATTAAGAAAATTATTGGTCTTCCAAAACTATTCTGGGTCTTCTGGGCCAGTCATTACTAAAAAAAGAAAAAAATACTAGAATTTTTTGTAATTTTTAAATTTCACCCATTAAAAATGTCTATTTTTGTATTATAGTATTCATAACAAATTAGCTAATTTATTATTTTAGTACTTCATATTTTTAATATTAGAGAAATGTTTCAGGGGTGGATACTCAGAAATTTTGTAACAAAAATAGTATACTATCTATAATTAGTACACTTTCAGAAGTCAAATGCTTCTGTTTCCAAAATAGCAGTCTGACTGACCACTTTTATACAAATTTAGTTATAAATTCCACTAAATGAAAAAAGTTTAAGAAGTGTAGACTAAAATACCTAACGCCTTAATACTTAATACTGCATTTACTGAACACCATACTTTCTTGCCCTCTTTCCAGAGAATCTTAAGGCAAAGTGTGTATTAAGGATTTGGAGGGGGTATGCCAGTAATCGAACTCAGGACCTTGCATTTGCCAGGCAGGCACTGCTCCACTGAGCTATATCCCTGGCCCCATATTAAGGGTCTTTAAGAAGAGCCATTGTAAATTCTCAAGATTTTCCCTGTCTCAAAGGTTTTATTATCTGTTTACTTCCTGCTGTGTTTTGTATCTTTAATAACACAGCTAGCTAATTTTTTTGATACAACATGAATCTTTTAAAGTTTTTTTGATAAATTATGCACCTAATAGTAAAGTCCTCATGATAAAATGTACACTATGGGGCTGGGGATTTAGCTCAGCGGCACAGCACCTGCCTGGCAAGCGTGAGGTCGTGAATTTGATTCCCAGTACCGGAAAAAAACAAACAAACAAACAAACAAAAATACACTAAACTGGGCATGTTGGTGCATGCCTATAATCCCAGCACTCGGGAGGCTGAGGCAAGAGGATTGCTGCAAGTTCAAGGCCAGCCTGGGCTATATAGTTAGTTCAGGGGCAGCCTGAAGTATACGGCAAGATCCTGTCTCAAAAAATAACTAAAGAAAGTACACCAAACAGTTAAATATTGCCAAGCATGGTAGCTCATACCTATAATCCCATCTACTCCAGCATCTGACGCAGGAGGATCACAAGTTCAAGGGCAGCCTAGGTTATTTACTATCACCCTATCTCAAAATAAAAAAGGCTGAGGATATATCTCATTGTTCCCTGGGTTCAATCTCTAGTACTGTTTTAAAAAATACATGAATTTTACTGGGTTGTTTTGTTTTCTTTTGTTTTTAAGATCAAGCCACTATATTATCTGGTCAGTGTCCAGAATCAGTTTGGAGATTACCACAAAGTAAGTAAAGCCATGCTTACAGATGTACCTATGACCATGGTCCAATTCTGTTCTTCTTTTTAAAGATCTTTACAGTGTAATATAAATAAAAAAGACATGTAGTAAACAATTAAAATAAAACTCCCCTAGTATCTTTCTACCTCTTGATTATGTTTCTTGAGTTACTCTCTATTCTCAAACCTGAGTTTGAAATTTAAAAAGTGACAATACAAGTCTGCTGGGCCAGGGATATAGCTCAGCAACGCAAGCGCAAGGTCCTGAGTTTGATTCCCAGTACAAGAAAAAGAAACCCAAAAAGCAGAATTTCCAATAAAAGTCTGCTGCTTCCTGTGATTTGTTGAATGTTTCCTTGCAATATCAATATGTTGATTTGCTTTTAGTTTGATATAGTAGTAGTTTGAATCTTACAACTTGGAAAATTTTCATGATATAATGTTAAGAAAATATAACACAAAAAATATTAGAAAGTAGTATGCTACAATGCTAACAGTGATTGTTCAGGACAGTAGACAGGGTGGCATTTTTCTTTTACTTTATTTTTGGTATTTTGCAGATTATCTGCCTTGGATATGTTTCTTAGATTATATGAAATAAGACTGATTTTCTTTTTCCATTTTTAAATCAAGTCCCAGAATTTGAGTTACTCATCAGTCAGCTGAAAATATCCTTGTATATAAAATCTTCAAGAAGTTTTTTCTTCCTACATGACTTTCTTTAAAAGACAAAGAAAAAGCCTTTGGAAATCTATTACAATCATTGTGTTCATAGAATTCCATTTTATATGATTTTTAATTTTAGTTTTTAGCAGATCCTAGACTAAACTGTAAACTGAAATATAATAAAATGAATAAGCTGCTGAAACATTAAAAGAAAGCCTTTTATGGAAAATCACCCTTTATGTAAATAACTACCTTATTTTGCTCCAAATCTTTGACTTTTAAAAACCCTTAAATGTATCTGCCTATGTAAATGATGTACAAAATACTTAGAATTTGATGAAAGAGTAGATAAAAAAGCCTGTGTCCAATTTTTTTAAGTATGTTGTTAATATAGGCTGAAAGCAAATCTGTATCTTATTTACCATGTATTTCCACACTCAAGAGTCTGCACATAGTAGGTACTTAACAGATACAATATTCATAAATTTTTAAGTTATACATTCCTAGAATACATTTTACAGCTGGCATGTATTGCATTTGTATTCAGAAAAAGTGAAATTGCAAATAAATTTATGTTGATACGTTTACCAATGGATAGAAATAACTTGTTTCTTGAAGGCATATTTTAGCATTTACCTTATTATAATTACTTATGATATCATTTTCTTTTTTGGGGGGGTGGGTATATGTGTATTGAATGTGTAATTTTTTTTAAAATTTCATTTTAAAGAAAAGTAACCAAAAAACAAAATTGCAAAACGATATGATAAGAGGGTAACAAATGCATATTGTTATCTTTAAATTACTCAGAGTACAAGATAACAGCATCTAATTATCCAAACAATTTTAGCACAAACCTATCTTTTCAGTGAACTTTTATATATTTCTTTTTCATTTTGCTTTTCCCTTCCGTTTCTCTATTCCCCACCCAGTTTCTCTTTCCTTTTGAAGTTTGGTCCCATTTTACAATATCTGTTACACATTTTGGATCTTATTTACTCTCTCAGCTTCTCATACTAGGGAGACAATATGATCTTTACACATGTGCATCTGGTTTATTTCACTTAAGAGTACAGCCTCGAGTTGTGTCCATTTACCTATGAAAGTCTCCAGTTAATCCTTCTTTATGGCTGAGTAATACTCCATTATATAAAAAGACCTCACCTTTTTTATCCTTTCCTCAGTTAATGGGGATTTGAGTTGTTTCCAAGATCTGACTATTACAAATTGTGCTGTTGTAAATGTGGGTGCACATATATCACTGTGGTACAATGTTTTTAATTCTTCTGAGAAGATACCTAGAAGCAGAGTAGCTGGGGCAAATGGGACCTCCAATTGTAATTTTGTGAGGAATCTCCACACTGATTTCCACAGTGGTTCCCCCAGTCAACATTGCCACCAACAATGAAGAAGGGTTCCTTTTTCCCCCGCAGCCCCTCCAGCATTTGTTGTTGGTTGATTTCTTGATAATAGCCATTCTTTCTAGGGTGAGATAGAATATGATGTCATTTTCTAATGATTCCATACCATCCTTTTATAGTTATCCTTAAAAACCACTTCAAAATTTGATGTAGGATTTTACTTCATGACTACTTTGCAATGCCCACAAATTGCCTATGTAATACATACCATCCTGTATGGTATTATGTATGGTTACAGACTTAGTCCCATTACTTTCAGATATGTAATCTCAGGAAATTACCAATTTGTTTTCCCTTATAAAATATGGATAATAATGCCTACCATGCAGGTATAAAAACTTTAGAAAAAGAATTAAGTAAAACTACACTTGATACCTAGTAATCATTGAATATGTTTAGCTTTTTATTCCCTTCCTAATGCTGGAAATTGAACCCAGTCTCACACTAGGCAAGCACTGTGCCACATAGCTACATCCCCAGCCCATAGCAATTATTTTGATAATAATTATCTTAAAACTGACGTCATGTTACTTCCACTCTGAAAATTTTGAAATTTAGAAAAGGGAAAGATACATTTATTGTATATTTTTGAGACTGGTAAGAGAAAGGTTTGATTTGGTTTATAATACTCATAGAAAACAAGCAAAACATCTATAAAACATCTCCTTTGTTTTAATTTTTAAGTGTTTGGTGATCCCTGTTCCTGTGCTCTGTTTTAGGACAAGACTCCACAGCTCATAATAAGCAACCTTCTGTGCTGAGTAAGTGGTCAATAGTCCTTCTTTTATAGTCACTTATTTCTAAACTTGCCTCATTCTACCAACAAAAATTCTAATAGGATTTTACGTCATTTTTCTCTCTTCACTTTTTAATCTACCAATCATTGGTATTATACCTCATAATTACACTGTGATGTAGAAATATATTCAGGGCTCTTTTACCATGAGTAATTTACTTGGAAGAGTAAATGGTTAACTTTTCAATTAAATAACATCAAAACCTAGTGATGTTTTTTAATTAAGTCATTCACATAGACTGAAGGACTTATGTCTTACTTACTTTTCACATTGCTGAGACAAAATACCCAACACCCAGATTAAAGGAGAAAAAGTTTATTTCAGCTCACAGTTTGTAGAAGTTTCAGTCCATAATCGGCTGGTTCCAAGGCAGGGTGGCACAGTAGACGGGCATCACAAGCAGAAACATGGTAGGCAAAAGTTTGCAAAATGAAAGGATGACCACAGCTCTTTTTATTCCTTACATTTTATCCAGGGTACTTAGGGTGGGTAGCACTCACACCCTTGATGCTAGTGCCCTTGAACCTTGCATTACCATAATCAACCCCAGTGCCACCCACTCTAGATCCAGCCACCTCTCAAAAAAGCCCCACCTATGAGGCTTTAGGGGGACGTCTAGACACAAGCCATAACAACTTACACATAATTTTGTCTGTTAGGTTGTAATGCAGTGATGGCGAACCTTTTAGAGCTTTTAGTGGTACAAACAGCTCACCGCAGCATGCATGCCATAGTTTCTCCATCACTGTTATAATGTATTTATCTGATACCTATTTTGCTATGGGAAGTAGTTCGTCTTCACTGATATCCTTTGAAATTCTTTTACTTCACAAACTATTATCTTCATTGTTTTCCTCCCTACTTTATTTTTTTCTTTCTGATAGATTTGTCATACAACACTGGGCTATGATATAGACTTCCAAAGTATGTGAAATGGCATCTCGATATATGAATTTGTTTCAGGCTCAGGATATCAGAAAAACCGTCAGGAATGGTTTGAACAACATACAAGAATGAGAAATAGGATGCAAAGTAAGTAAACTTATTTGCTGTGTTTTTCTTGATTATCTAATGTACAAAAATGTTCAGTTGTTCAGATGAGCATTTGGGTTGTTTGTGATCTCACTAATAGAGAACAGCTATGATTATGAGTTCAGTTTCCATTATTGGACTGGGATTAGGTGGACTGGGTATAAAGCATAGGTAGCAATGTGAGAACGCCAGTGGATGACAGATGTGGGCTTCACAAGCTGTCCATTTGTAGCAGCAAGCATACATAGTAATGAAATTGTACTTCTCTGACAATCCCTGGTTTTTAGTTCGCAAACTTTATAATAATGCTTATAGCAGCTGTACACACCCATTCTTTTATGTAATAAGAGCCAGGATGCACAAATTGTGTTTCTCTATTCAGGTTTAGGATGGATTAAGTGTCACAGAATTTAACAAATGCCAGTAAATTGATGTGATGAAATTTTACTTTGAACTCATTGCCTGTTACAATTTCTGTAGAAATTTGTCCACGTTACACCTTGACTATATTAAACTCATATGTGCGTACACATATGTTCTCTGCCTTAAACAACCTTCATTCTTTATTCATCTATAGTGGTCTCAAGGTCCTCAGGTGTCCCCTTACTTTTATTTAGATAATATAAAAATCTCTTTAAAAAATGTAAAATAATATAAATAATATAAAAATTGTGTGTCCCTTATTTATGGAATGATTAACTCTGTAACTGGACAAGATAGGCTCTCTAGCTTTGTTTTTCCATGAATAAAGTAGTTATGATCACGATTCATTTTTTCTTAGCAGTGAGGTTTCCTCCACATACTGATTCGGCTCTCTAAAACTGCAAAGACCTTTTTCCCCTGCCTTACTATTGGCTGTCATTTTTTTTTTTTTATTGTTGTGTGTTCTATTAGAAGACCATGTCCTCTCATAATTTGCTCTTTCTGACCTATTACAGTTAGGAAACCTAATCATTAATTATTTACTTTATTAGAATTGTATTTATGATAAGAATCAAAAATGAAAATTAAACTTACAGACCTAAAAAATACTATGGAAAGTGAAAATGCACGAGTTTCAGTGTATTTACTATGAGAAATTTAGAGGTTTTCTATTATTTCCTAAGTTCTTTATGTTTTTTGGTTTTTGGATTTGGAGGGGGTTGGGGGGTTTTTTGGTTTGGATTTTTTTTGTTTGTTTGTTTGTTTGTTTTTTGTACCAGAAATTGAAATCAGGACCTTGCACTTGCCAGGCAGGTGCTGTGTGTCTGAGCTACATTTCCAGCTCTATTCCTTAGTTCTTAACTATATATTCAGGGTAATTAATAGCAGGTAAGTGACTTCCATATAAATAAAACTGATACACATTGTTACCAGAAATCAAAAAAACTTTTAACTGGGCATGGTGGCACAAGCCTATAATCCCAGAACTCAGGAGGCTGAGGCAGGAGGATCATTGCAAGTTTGAGACTAGCATGAGCTACAAAGTGACCTGAAGACCAGCCTGAACTGCATGGTGAGACCCTGTCTCAAAAAGACAAAAACAAAACAACAACAACAACAAAAAACACTCCGGAGGCTGAGGCAGGAGGATCATTGCTA